CTTTGTCTTTGTTACAAAATTGTAATATTCAACAAAATAATCGACTCTGATGTCTAATTACAGGATCTAAATACAACTTTTTTGAAATACAATGATCATATATGATCTCAGTAGACTCTATTAAACAAATTACACTAATTGGTGCAGAAAAATCACAAAAATTTTAGAGGTTTTGGCCACACAAACTTGGATTTTAGAACACGGTGGGACATGGTTGCAATTATCTCACTTGCACCAATATTGTTGGTTGTGAGCAACGATGCACGTGTTAGTGCAAAAACGTTTTTGGGAGGGACAAAATGAAGGCGTATATGAGTGACAAAAACAATATTTGCTTGTGGGTTATTTCCATGTTTGTGAAACTCTGCCCACAGTGCCAAAAAACTAAAAGCATCATGAGAAGAGGCCTGGTAGTGAGACCCATCATCTTTGAGCAATTTCAAGCAAGAGGTCAAATTGATTTGCTCGATTTTCAGTTGGACAACAATGGGTCTTTCACTACCAGACCATTTTACCAAATTCTGTTTTTTGGCTCCCCTAAAACAGAAGTCGGCATTGGAGGTGGCTACAAGGCTGAAGCACGTCTTCAACATTATCAGTGCCCCATTAATCCTCCAAAGCGATAACGGGAGGGAATTTAGGAATAAAGTTATGAGCAAACTGGTAGCATGATAGCCTTGGTGCAAGTATATTCACAGCCGTCTTCATTATCCCAATCCAGGGGGTCTGTCAAATGAGCCAACAGATGTGTAAAAACAAGATAATGTGCTAAATAAAGGACAATAATACGACTAAGTGGGATAGAGGTCTTGAGGACATTCAGTAGACCAGGAACAACCTTTGCACTACACTATCAAACGTACCCTTTGTGAAGAGGTCTTTGGCACCGAGCCTTCATGTGAAAGGGTGGCGGGGATAACGTAGTGGCAGATAAGCTGTCAGAGAATAGTAAGTAAAAAGTCGGGGTTTGAAAAGGTTTTTGGTCTCAATTTGGACATTATAACTTATAATATAAAACAGCTGGCTGAATTAAATTTCAAAGTGTAGCATGTGCCATGCTTGTTAGCGTGGATTGTGAAGTGCGAAAAAAATTATAAGCCAAGTGCCGAAAGGTGAGGCTGAAAAAGGTGGGAGTGAGGAGTCTGAGAAGGTGACGAACGGAGGCGATGAAAAGTGCGAAGGAGGTGCAGGTGGTTGCGAAAAAATTGGCAAGGAGGAGCATCGAGTAGCAACCTTGCGAGAGCGTTCAGAAACGAGGTGCCTTCGAGAAAAATTTTGACATTTACAAAATTCACTAGTTATTAACGTTATTCACTGCGCAGTGAATAACGTTAATAACTAGTGAATTTTGTAAATGTCAAAATTTTTCTCGAAGGTACCTCGTTTCTGAACGCTCTCGCAAAGGTTGCTACTCGATGCTCCTCCTTGCCAATTTTTTCGCAACCACCCTGCACCTCCTTCGCACTTTTTCATCGCCTCCGTTCGTCACCTTCTCAGACTCCTCACTCCCACCTTTTTCAGCCTCACCTTTCGGCACTTCGCTTATAATTTTTTTCGCAATTCACTATCCAGGCTACATGCTTTTTCTGCCTCATACAAATACCTTCTCCCGTTTCATTTCACTAATGCCTTTCTGCAAATAACCGATATCAAAAAATAATATAGCTGTTGCCAAAGAAAATCTTTTGGATAACACAAGAATTGCAAAACGAGTAACAAACAAGATCAAGTTTCAGTTACACTGTTACATTCAATGTGTAACATCTACCTATTAATTGATTGTTTGCTCGAAATAATTTATTTTTGAAAAAAGTAAATTGTAAAAAAAATCTCTATTGCTCTGCCCATACTGGGACTTGAACACGCTCCCTAAGATTGCAAAACCACAGCACTACCACTATGCCACTTCAGAACTATGTACTATCATCAAAACAGCAAATAAAAAAAAACCCCGGTGAAAAAAGTCCAGGCGCAAGCACAACGCTTTATCATTTGTTAAACATATTTTTTGCTCCTCCTTTTCACCTTCTTTTGCCGCGTTTTCCCAATTTACTCCCGTAGTGAAGTAAAAGGAAAGATGTTACACATCAAAAAAGAAAGATAAAAATCATGGGCGAACACAAGCCACAAACGAATTGGCAAAAATTTTCTCACTTTTCAAAAATCAAACAAATATCAAAAATTAATATGGCTGCTACCAAAGGAAAGCTTTTGGAAAAAACAAAAATCAGAAAAACTAGTAATGAAAAAATAAACACGAATATCATAGGCAAATACAAGCCACCAACAAATTGGCAAAAAAATTATTTCAATTTTCAGTAATTTCAATTTGTAAATTCTAATTCAAAAAAAGATCATTTACTGACGACTGCACTCGATCAACTGAGTGCAGTGTGCGTTTCACTTTGCCTCGAACACCACAGCACCGAGTCGGCGATCATGAAAATACATGAATATTTTGAGATAACACACGAAGTAAATGTACCTGAATATAAACTGAATTTGATGTGTCATTTTTATCAACGTCTATCTCACATATTCATAAATTTTCATACTTTTTGAATCTATTAACTGAATTTTTATCTCAACTTTGACCTAGAACTGCAGTGCAAGACCCAATATACCTCATTCCATTTCACTGGCTTCATCTGCGTGCCAGAATAATTCCCATATTTCAAAAACCTCCTTTGAAGTACATGTTTTCCCCCTTTGCGACAAATTAATAGGTTCTTTCATTGTGACGTCAGAGCCACATTTGTTTACATTCCACTGGTGGGAATCTGACCAATTTCTCATGGAATGTGTTGGAAAATCTCAATTCCTACACGCGCGACCACTTAATCCAACAAAAAAAGGAGTTTCTCTAAGTAAAAACCTGCTAAAAATACGATGTAAACATCGAAATAACCTATTACAAACGCACTGCTCGATCTTTGCAAAAATCGCACCTTCGCCTCACATATTTCATTTCGAATTTTCGTTACCCTCTCAAAACCTTTCATCGCAATACGACACACAATTTCATAGACTTATTCATTCACCGTAGTATTCGACCTAGTTTTTAGGCTAATTATCTATTTCGTCATTGTGGTTGTTGAATTACTTACAAAAAATGTCAGTAGAACAAATTTTCCCCAAAATACCCCAAGATACTATTTTCCTACTTTCACAATTCTCCCCAGTTCATTTTGTAAACCAGCGTCCCAATTCGAGTTATGACACCTACATATGCAAAAATCATCCCTAATAACCCAATAAAAAAATTAACAATTTTCCCTAGGAAATTTAAAAAACGCAAAAAAATTTTTTTTCCCTAACAAAATTTCCGTTAATAACGTTTATCCCTAGGAGATAACGTAAAAACCGGGATTAACGTCAGCTCCTAGGGATTAACGTTATTAACGGATTTACACAAAAAACTGCGACATATATATGAATTTGCCACTTCCATTCAACAGACAACTGGCGAGAAAAAATACGAATCAAAAAAGGTACATACTCGTGAATAAAATGTTTTTTATAAAAAACATGGTTTCATGCTTGCTGTGGGTCAGAGCTTATAGAAAATATTAGGGAGCAAATCAAATTCTCAGTCAGGCAAAGTAGGCACACACCGCACACTCCCCGCTATGTTTAGGACGAATCCATCTTTATATTCTGGAACTAGAATATAATTGCAAAAGTTACATTGCAGAACGTTTACGGTTTCTGGATCAAGAAGTGGATTCTGTCTCACTTTAAGGGATCCAATTCTACACGTAGATCAGTATTTTCTTGAATTCAGGATCCACTTTTTTTCAAGTCTAGATCCAGAGTCTAGTTTGTTTGTCTATGACTCTGGAACTAACTGGTTCTTGACTC